CACAACTTTCTGTAGTAGACATTTGACTGTCCTGCCACACCGGTCAGGCTCTTCAGAATGGATTTTGTCCCCCCCCCCTCAGGGCCAGGTACTATATTATTCGGGGATCATCGACGTCGCTAGGGCTATTTTAGATACTTTTGGCCCTCTCTGACTTTTCTGCACTAACTTTTAGACAAGACAACATATTCTCAAACAACAGCAAAGAAGAATTTGAAAACATTAAATTGAATTAAAATGGTAATTGATGATACCTTTAATTCTAATAAATGTGTTCATATTCGTCATTGCGATGATAAAAGCCTTTGTAACGTCATTCCCATATAATATTTTTTAGATATTGCTTATACAAGTTCGCTACTTTGCTTTTGCTAAATTCCTCATTTATTATTTTTCAATTTGCGAAAGAAATCCGTTGAAGATATTTTCACTTTGCTGATGACTGTAGTGAGTTTTATAATGATGATAATGATCTTATATTCTATGCTGTGTATGCATTCTACAATTTTGTTCATCTGTCACAAAGCAGATGTGGATCATATCATTAACAAATTCAGGTAGTTACTACAGTTAGAGTCTTACTATGAATTTAGTTTCATTTCAAGGTCATGTGCTTTATGTCGATAAATTTCAGGTTTCTGCTTGACTAAACCGTGATGTAGAGCAGTCTCAGTATTTTAGACTGGTAATTAAATATAATTTTCCCAGAATCTAAAATTAAAAAATAACGTTTCAATCATTCTATTAACACAATAAAAATTTTTATATTTATGAGGAAAAAGATACGGTGTATTTCAGCTAATTGGATTGATATTGTCATGGAATTGCATTTACGTGGAAGTGCTTACGAGGAGCTTTTTAGAAATATCTTACTTTACCTAATAAACATCAGATCAATTATTAGTTTTATAAAGTGTTTTTGTGGGTTTCAATGTTTTAATTAATAATCCTAATACCAAATGTCAATTTATAATTTGAAAATTGGAATAAAATTATGTAGATGCATCATATATATAAACTGACCTTGACGTTTCGATTACCAAGCAAAATGCCACTACATGAAATTTCCGCAATCCAAATCAGTACAAGTTTTATTGTTGCGTGGTACAAATTGTGTCTCAAGTTGAGTTTTTAAATATGAAGAACTTGCTTACAGAAGGTTGTATATCCAATCAAGTTCTTGGAAAAGAAAAAAAAAGGGGGAATTTTTAATTTGAAGTTTCCAAATTTGAGGGAAAAAATATAATTTACTTTTAATCGCTAGTAACAACATTAATTGACATAGTTTAAAAAATCTCAACAGTATAATTGCTAAATTATCTCCACTTTCCTAACGACCTCACCGTTTTGAAATGAAAGAACTGATGCATCACAGGTACAAATAATTTAGGAAGTAAACCGAGTCATATAGTTTACAAGTATTTCAAACGGTTTATAGCATAGTAATGACCCTGAGACAACTATTCAGTTGGGTTATTTTTTGAATTAGACCTCTCGATTTGTGTAAATGTTATTTATATGCCGAGGTGTAGCCTGAAAGTAATTCAAATTCTTTAAAAATTAAACATCAAAGTTTCATTTTTTTAACAATCTTTATGCATACTCATATACAAAACATTAAAACAGAATTTCTGGTGAGTAAAATTTGTTGCACGAAAACCGTGAATTTAAAACTTATTCTGCTGCACATTTTGGCTTCGAAAAGTAGAATTTAGTAGTGATCCTTATCTTTAAACTTTCTGAAAGGATAGGGGACCTTGCTAGATGACCTTCATCAGAAGCTCCCTTGAAGGAAAGGGGAAGGAAAGCAAGTTTCGTGCAAATGGTTTTATGAGAACAGAATATTGCTCGCGCAACTGGTCGGCTTTCTTCCCTTTTTCACGCAGTTAGACGAGAGTGAAAAAAAAAAAAGGCAGTTGCAAAATTAAGAGTTCCTTTAATTCCCAAACTTTACAATTTTTAGTTTCTTTGCCACTATAATTAAGAAATCTTGTTTATCTTTCAGACTTATGCCGGGCATCGAACGCATTTCATTTATCTCCTCCCCCATTGTTAGGCTTTCTAGAATGGAGCTTATGTAAACCCAGAAACAAGTTTTAGAACTTGTGGATGATAGGATTACATACGAATTTTCAATCTTCATTGCTTCTGATACTCGAAGAGATTTGCAACCTTGAAAAAATATTCAAAATATTTCCTTATTTGAATCATTCATTTTTCATTATTTCGTCTCAATACTGTACTCCCAGAAGGAATTCCTTACAAAGACGAACAAGAAAGTCAAGCGAAACGAACACTGTGATCTCATCGCAGCCTGTAATATGCTAAGAACTGGCAAAAAGCTGTTTTAATTCAAAAAGTGACTTATATGACTTCTACTGGGCCGATTAACGAAATTCAAATTGAGTTTTTCATGTCTTGAAAGCGCGATTTAGGATATATATATTAGATTTATATATAGTTCTATTCTAATATAGGTATTTTGTCACAAAATCAGACTTTTTCTGAAATAACATAACAATTTTTTTACATATTTCGATTCTACGACTCATTATGCCTAAATATTAAATTTTGTAAAATTTGGTGTAAAATTCACAAATTTACGTTGGCGCTTTTTTTTTTTTTTTTCCCTCAGTTTGCGCCAAGATTAGCTCACTTGACGAACTTCTTAATATATGGCAACCTATTTTCATTTTCCTTTTTACATCGTGTGTGAGAGGGAAAAAAGTGACAATCGTTCTTTTTTTCGGATAATGGTCTTTATATTATATTTTTAATTATAATTGTTTTATTTCAAGTAATTTTTCTTTTTCGAATTTCATTTTAATTGTTTAAGTTGCATGGTTTCTTTCAAATAACTATTTAAAAATTTCTATTTACTCATTCGAATTCGTTAGTTTAAATCAAAGGGATCGTTTATTTTTTTATTTTATTTTATTTATTATTTTATTTTTTTTTTTTTCAAATTCTCTCTCTCCTCTCTTTTTTTTTTTTTTTTTTTTTTTTTTAAATACTATATTTTTAGTCATAGTTACTATTTTAGGCAAATAAAACAGGCAAATCGACAACCTTGTATTCGGCGTAGATTTTGTAAAATCCCAATCGATTTTGAGGGCAAAGCGATTCTGCTTTCTCGCTTTTGCAGAACTTTTTGCTCCTGAAGAAGGGGAACCGTTTGGCCCTCGAAATCGATTGGGATTTTACAAAATCTACGCCGAATACAAGGCTGTCGATTCGCCTGTTTTATTTTCCCCGTTGGCGTGTTCTCTTGCGTCTTGACTATCTTAGGTAATTTTTAAATTTTTAGACTTTTATTTTAATTGTTTATGTTTCATTGTCTCTTCAGATAATTATTTTAAAATTTTCTGTTTATTCATTCGAACTGAGCATTTTTTTTAAATATATTTATTAATATAAATTTTCCAGAATTTGATTTTATTTATTTGAATTGCGTTTCTTTCGGAAGAATACTTTATGATTCAGATTACGATGCATTTGAAAACTGCATATATTAAAAGAGAAAATACAGTAAAGCACAGTTAAAACGCCTTTCAATGTTCCGTTCAGAAAAGATATATAAATAAGAGATATATAACCGACATTTTAACTTAGGATGACTTGCATACATTGCTTTAAACAGTTTTATCAGTGTGCTTATTGCTTTACACAATTTTATCATCCTACATTTAATTTCTTAAAATGTTATTCATATTTTAGTTAAATATTTTTTTTTTAATCCCAAGAATCAAATATCACAACATTAAAAAGTTTTAAATTAAAAAAAAATACAAATACTAAATTTTATGCAAAAATTTATTTTTTCTTCTCTTTTTCTTCAGGCATTCTGCAAGTATATTAAAAAAAGCATCCAACTTTTCGAAACATCTTGGAATTTCTGACATTCATTTTAAATAAAGTTATTGCCTTCCATTTCATAAAGGCCGACAAACGACAGAGCGGTAAAGTTGCTGAACACTGGTAGTTCGCTTCGGGGTTCGAATCCCGGCAAACGAGCTGGTTGCATGGTTCCTGGGTTTTCTCATGCGTAACGTGTATGCCAGCTGGCTTCCCTTAGAAAGTTCTTCACGAAGGCATCCTTCCTTTTAGGCAGATAGCCCTGCTTTCTTAATAGTCCAATTCAATCCATTCCATCAGTATTTGGGTCAGAGCCTTTATTAGTCTTTAGAGGCTAAGCATTTTGAAGGCATGAGATGAAAGGAAAGAGTGGTTTCATCAAGAGGAAAAACGTCTTTAGGTGACATCCACATACATCACTGGATAAACTCCTGAATCTTCAAATAATTCGAATGAGAAATCATTCTCCGTTTATGATACGATATGATGTTCTATAACGCAATTTAAATTTATACAACCATAATGCAACCATATAGTCTTCACTTTAATCTGCAATGATATCTTTTTTGTCTTTTCCGTTAACACAAGCTCAATTGATGGTATTTGCTGGTGTACACGTCCAAGGTTTTCTTCTTTGAACACCCAAATTCCTTGAAGTATCCTGAAAGTATATTAAAAAGCATCCAACTTTTCGAAACATCTTGGTATATCTGACAGCCAAATTTGCCTTCAAATTTTTGCTAAAATAGCAGACAATAAACGGCGAACGTAAAAATTTACTCCTACAAATATTTAAAAAAAAAAAGGAAGAAAGAAAGAAATTTAAAAAAAAAATTAAATTTGAGTAATATCATCTATAATTTAAAAAAAAAGCTTTTCATATAGTATTAATAAATATTTATTACGCATCATTAAGAGAAAAATTTTCATATAATTAATTCTCCGTAAAAATTTATTTGAAATTTAATGTTAGGAATAGCTGTGGCAATTCACCTTTGGAATTAAGTTCTTAAGTTTTATTATGATAAAAAATATAGAGCCACTTTTATATATATAATATTATATATATATATACTGATATTTTGACTGTTTAATTACTTTTGTCATATAGTTTATTTATAGCATAAATTTAATCTGCTTATCTTTATTTTCAGAGATTTCTATTGGATGAAGAAAAGCATGTTAAAACTCTTTTAACGAAAGTGACAGGTAAGGGAAAATATAAATCTAGTATATATGTTTCTATTTCTAGAAGGTGCGCTATCAGATACATGTGTTTAAAAAGATGTCAGTTTTTTCCTCCATCGTGATTTATATGCGATTACTACGCAGCTATAAGTGAATATTTTAGTATATTAGCAATTGTTAGTTTTCTAGAATTACTAGCCATTTTCAGGCTTTGCCGGGCTTAGGTAAAACTAGAAACATGCTTTTGAATTCGTGAATCATAGAATTAAAATTGAAATTAATATTACTCTTTTAATTTGTAGAGATTTACTTGATCTGGTAACGTTAATTAATCCATTAACTCTAACAAACATCTATTAACCCTTTCAAATGTAGCGAATTATCTCTACTTTGAAATAACGACAAATTCGTGATTAAAAATAACCGTTTTATTTAAACAGAATTTAGAACACAACTCGCGGTGATACAACTAAACAGAACAGTCAAATTTAAAAGTTAAACGTGGAAGTACTACACAATTAATTACTATACTAACAAACACTACACAATTAATTACTATACTGGAGCTGGCTCACTACTCTAGCCAAGTGTTTAAAATTTTTTAAGTGTCTTCAGCGATAGAACACAAGGCCGAATAATTGCAATTATCAGAGCTGGCAGGAAACTAACACGTAGCTTGCATGTGATGACAAAAACATGCTCTGTCTTAAAATCCAAAAACATCAATTTAAATACTGGCTACTCATTTGCATTCAGGTGAGGAATATGGAAAGGAGAAGTTATAGTAAAGGCTGAAATTATAAATAACTGGTTCATTAACATAAAATTACCCAAAAATTATCATATTAGTTATTTAATTATCAAACTGTAATCTTAAAAATTATCTCAATTTTATCTAACCAATGTAACTGATCGCTAATCAGACAGAGAATTTTTTTTTTTACTGCTTTCGTGTCAGTCTTTGCTTTGTTTTAGAGTTACTATATTAAGCAAAATGTTCGAAGGCAGCCTGCGCAGGTGGAGCAATGTCTTTATGAAGAGTTTACGAAGGTAATCTGTTTCTCATTTGCGTTATAGATAATGAATAATACAAAAATCCTACGTTCATTCAGCAGCCTAATTCCGACCCCGTTCCGTTGCTTTCCTTTACTGTTGGGACCGATAAATAGAGGACCATTAACTATTAATTATGTTTATATTTCTTAGTTATACCTTCTTATTTTATTTCGTTGCACACATAATGCGTGTCTCTACTACTGATCTTCTATTATTGCAGATAACTTTACGAACGAGAAGATAAATCAAAATTTATCAAAATATAACGTTTTAAATCGTAACATAACTTGAGGTAATTTCCTTACATTTTCTATTAGCGTTTGTTTTTTAAACCCCGTTGACCGTTTTATTTTTATTTTAATTTTTTAAGAGAGGTTGGTGAATTTTGCGAGATTTTGAGTCAACCATGAAGTTTTCTACTCTGCCCGATTTTTTATCTTAATACGAAAAAAGTATGTTTAGCCCCACGACGTCTTGGTTTAGCTTCACATGTCTAAAGATGATGTAAAAAGAGGAGGAGATCTGTGAATTATAAACTATGAATTTACATGAAATGGTTCCTTTGACTTCTTGTGGACCTTCCAAGACGGGAGGTTATCGAGGTGGCGTGAGAAAATATTTTTTCTTTCCCTTCCCTGAGTATACAAAGTCCTCTTAAGGAAGCAGTAGTTGCTTAGGACTGATTTTCCACTTCCTGTGTATGAAGATTTACATATGTTATCCTCCTGCTCTTGAAGGAATAGAAAAGCGTATCTAATTATTTTGTTGATTGCTTTGATGAAGAAAGAATAATTTGGTCTGCACTTTTGCTTAATATTGTAAAACTTCGCTTAACGAAAATGGTGGAGAAGAATAGCATTGAATCGGTGATTTCAGAAGCCAGTCAACCCAGATTCTTTTTAAACCTTGTTTTCTTTATTTTTTCTTTTGTGTGTGTATGTGCATATGTGTACGGGTAACTTCATTTTTTTATTTAAAAACAAGTGCATGTGATGTATTGTGTCATTTGATTTTGTAGATGAATCAACTTTATAAACTAAAAAGCAGATAACTCAAAAGAATCTGGAAAACTTGGTATTAAAAATAAAAAGGGGGCTGATAGCTAAAATATTGTGATTGTTTATGAAAGCTTCTGAAGTGCATTAACCTTCTAACCCAGTGATGGTGAACCTATGGCACGCGTGCCACAGTCGACACGCAGAGCCTCATCAGCCGGCACGCGGGTAAAATATTATTTCCTTAATCAACAATCACAATGATATGATGTTGTGTAATTTAAATAAGTGTTTTATATAGTCTGTTCTTGAACGTTTCACCTTACTTATCGTATAATGTGACTGGCATAGGGCCTAAGCCTAGATATAAGATTTTCGTATATCGCCATAGAATGATATACATACTTATTGACCCAGTTTATGACGTTTCAGTTGTTTGGGCCAATCATATTACTTGTTATTATAGAGACATTAGGTATTTTTTGAAACAAGAGAAATGAAAAATTAGCAACTGCCTTCGCGGGATCGAACCACGGACCTCTGAAATACCGGCTCAGTGGGCTGACCACTACACCACGAAGGCACGCTAGGAAGGCGGGAGAAATACCTTATATTATCTGGCAAAGAATACCCGAAGTTGAAGCAGCTAATGTTTGCTAAAACGAATTCAAATTTATTACAGACTGCCGGTGACATTTAATACTTTCATTGTTAAATAGATTCCACTTTCCAAATCTAAGCATTTTGAGATAATTTATGAATAATTCTAATTTAATATCTTAAACGGAATGGCACGCGGCCCCAAAAAGGTTCGCCACCACCGTTCTAACCTATCTCCAATTTATAATGGATTTTGAATTTTAAGGAATGTTTGAATTGAACATACTAGTTTTATTTTACCCATGTTTTTCAGTAATTTGATTTGCATCTTATGAAGAAAGCATCATTTTTTGATCAAATTAGAATACTGTAGAGTTTGTATTAACCAAACGTTCTGTATATATTTAAAAATATGCAGTCTGAAAACTTCACGTTACAGTCTAATACTTCAAATAAAAGTTTGCCACTAAAAATTTAAAAAAAAAAAAAAAAAAAAAAAAAATGCGATCTGATCAGTTTTAAATTCCAGCTTAACACTTGAAAAAATTTCAGTTAAACAGTTTCAGTATGCCTGTTAGTTTAGAATTAATCCCCAACAATTCAATTTGCAGAACAGAAAATCATTGATTTTGTTCAAAATAGTAATGCCAAACGATGTTATTGTATGGCAGGGAATGGCTATGATATTTTTCCATCATAAACTTACGCAAAGCGAAAACTTTAAATTACCCGTTAACTGACAAACTTTTAGATAAAGAAAAATATATTATTGTTAACATTCATGTATTTTTTTACAGATCCTCATTTCCTGGGGAATATGGCAGTTGCGAACTATTTTTTATGACAATGTTCAAAGTATTCCACATGGAGACCTCAACTGCGTTTAACGCATTGATTTATAACGCTTGTTTTGTAGAGGGCGCACTTTGGGGGGGGGTTCATAAGACGTAAGAATTCAAAAAAGTGTAAAATGAATTGTCATTTACATTTATATATATAAAAAAGTCTAAACCACCCGATTGAAATTAAAGTTAGCATTTCGTGCCCCAATATATAAACTGTAAAATAATATGACCTTCACGGCAGGCAATGAGTTAATAAAGAAAGGACTAAATTATTAAGATGTAGCTGTGCATTTTTTTCACTGGGCCGCTTTTGTATGAGGCTCGCAATAAATACTTCCACAAGTGAAGTGATAACGATATTTTTGTTTTGCCGATATTTTTGTTACTTTGCATGATGAACACGCTATAAACAGGTATTTAAAAAAACGACAAAAAAAAAAAAAAAAAAAAAAAAAAAAAAAAAAAAAAAATTCTTTTTCTTCTTTGTTCTTTGTTTCTTTCTTTTCCTTCTTCCTTTTTTTTTTTTTTTAAACAACAGAAGTGTTATTAGTCTGAAACCTCACTTTTTTGTCCATATCACTATCCAAATGTTACTACCAAAAGTGAATATATAAAAAAATATACATGCGGCATCGTAAATAAAAGGATGCTGCTTCCAAATGTTATCTGCATGTATTATTTTTAAAGAAATATAGTGAATAAAACATTTAAAAAAAATAAAATATAATCATGTCTAGAAGCTGCTGAAAAAATTATCAGTAAAGACATAAAGTATGCTTATGAATTTCATTTTTTGGTCTTTGTGAAAAATTGGTTCTAAATTTCTTACTTTAATCATATATATATATATATATATATATATATATTAAAAAAAGTGGTGTACGGCAATAGTTAACATTTCATCAGAAATTCTAAAGATATTCGATATAAAATATTTTTAATTTCCATGCGCCACTTTGTTGCCATTTCGCGAAACGTAAGGTATTTTAATATCTTTTATATTTAATCTGCCTGTTATTGATTAGCAAACAAAGCGATTTAAAAGCAAGAAACTCAGTTCTTTATTTCTTTTATTAATTACCAGCTGGATTAATTACACTTGTTTGATTTATTAAAAGTGTTGTGTATTATTTTACTTTTTGTAGTAACTGTTTAGGCGGCTGGCCGATAATTGAAAAGTGAAACAGACAGCAAAACTCGTTTAACACGAAAGTGGGGTTCGAGAATAATAGCCCTTTTGGGCTAAAAAATTTGTGGCATTGTATCGGGAGCTCTAAAAATATTCTGTTTTTAAATAATTTATGATTTTGCTATTGAATTTTATGCTGCGTATGTACGAAGAAAGTGACGCTAATAATAAAGCTAAGCAGACAGATAACCTTGTGCCAAAGGAGTGAGCTCGAGAGCTGACAGATAAACTACGAGCTCAACGCAGCATAATAAACCTTACCAAACCCACTGTTGCCATGTTAAAATCTGAATCTTTTCAGATTTTTTTTTTTTTTTTTTCTCACGGTTAGGTATC